GTAAGTAAACACAGGGGCTAAGATGACTTATCTGTTAGAAGAGAAGGAGGACATGCAGCACAGCAGACACACAGCTATAAAATGGTCACCCTGCCGAGGAATCAACATTTGAGTGTAATAGTCTGTATGAGCCCTACCTAGTAACCTGACCCAAAGCCCAGGGTAGTCAAAGGAAAAACTTTCACATACAAGTGAGACTAAATGGAAGAATAGATGGCCACTCTGGGGTATTGCTATCCCCCAAAATTGAGGAGCTGAAAAAAACTGGAAAGTTTAAAGTGTAAATTAAGCAATATTTGTGGTGTGACACCTCCTGTTTGTTTCTTGACAGCAGGGGAAAAAACCAAGCTGGTTATTTTTTAGCTCTGCTGCTCCTGCAGTGAGGCTACATCTACATTAAGAGTTTTTTCAGGCAGAAAATATCCTAATGAGGGACAAAAGGGGGTTTTGCGCAAAAAGAAGCAGTGTAAACATTTCCTTTTTGCACAAAAACCTTGTTTTGTGCAAGATCCTTATGCCCGTCCCGAGGGGTGTAGTCTCCCCTAGATGCTCTTAAATAGTGCCTTTGATCTCTATCCCTTGATGAACCTACGTTAGCAAGCTTCCGTGTGAAGATGCTCTTCCCTCTCTTCATTAGATGGATCCTTTCTCTTCCTAGTCATCCTTCATGGAACAACATCCCATGATTAAAGAATCCAAAGCCCTCTTTCCAACACCTCTTATACAATCATGCATTCACTTGCACAACTTAAAGGCCTCTCTACCTGAGCCTTTTCCTTCAACAGGGATGATGGACCACAACATGACATGTGCCTCAAATACCATTCTCCATTTTCCCAGAGCCATGGCTCCTTTTCTGTAACTCATGAAAAATAAAAATAAAAGATTAACTATTAATATCTGGTAATATCACAAATTTTCACAATTTTCCAGCAGTGTTTTGAAGCCTGAGTGGGAGCTTTTTACAACAGGCAGCATCTGTCAAAGATAATATCCACTGTCTCCAGCTGGCTGTCTTTAAAATCATTCTTTTGGCCCTCATTAGTTACCCACCATCTACCCCTGTCCCTCTGACAGATCTATTGTATAGTACACCAGTTAAAGGTATGATACATCCATTAAGAGGAGCCCATAGGTTTTTGTAAGAAACAAGCATGTCTCTATCACTTAAATAAAATGTACAGAGATACATTAATTCACATCTATAACAGAAATAATGTGTTATGTAACTTCTCCTGCTACAATAGGCACCACGATGGTGAAAGACAGGCTCTTGTTTCTTCACATGGGACTGAAGCCCACCCTTAGACTGAAGTATAGTCGGTTAAAGAAGTACATTAGGCCATGTCACAATGACAATATTATCAGATGTTTAGTGTACATTATGCGTACCCTTTCATGTTATGAATCTGTTACAGCTATTACTTTGTTAAAAGCGGATAGATATAGTCTAGACGCAGGTGACGTTTTTTCGAAAAAAGGCTACTTTTTTCGAAAAAACCCTGCGGTCTAGACACTGCCTTTATGGGGACAGATACTTCCCTATATACAGGCCCATACACAGAAATTTCTGGGGTGTGTGTGGTTTTTTTTGTAAGTGTGGGCCACAAGGGTGTGACTGCACCACCATGATCCCCCAAGTAAGTGGGGCAATCAGCCCCAGCCTTCCCCCAGCAGGCCAGAGCACACTTACTTTGGGAACCATGGGGGGTGCCTTTGCACCCTTCTGGTCCACATTTACAAAAAAAGCACACACGCCCTACAGAAATTCCTGCATTCGTGCCTGTAGGCCTTTAGCTCCAGCTAGTGTGGTAAACTCTGGCAAGCTAGGTTCACAAAGTGACAACGAATATGAGAGTTATCACAAAAATGAGGGCGTGTCTGCTATTTGAAATGGCTGTGGATTTCAGTCACACAGAGGCTACGTGTAGACTACACGCGTTTTTCGACAGAGGCTTTGTTGACAGATACTGTCAACAAAGCCTCTGTCAAAAAAGAGCATCTAGACTACGATCAGTATTGTTGAAAAAGTAAGCCGCTTTTTCGAAAGAGAATCTAGACACTCTCTTTCAAAAAAGCACAGTTTGCATGCAATAGTGCCTTTTTTTTTAAAGAGTACTTTCAAAAAAGGCGTTATTCCTCGTAAAATGAGGTTTACTGCTGTCGACACAACTGCCGCGTTCTGTCAACTTACTGTCAATAGAATGTGGAGGTAGTGTAGACGCAGGTATAGTTTTTTCAACAAAAGCCAACTTTTGTCGAAAAAACCCTGTAGTCTAGATACACCCATCATGAGCTTCCTTTGTTCAGAAGGCAGTACGTTACCCACCCTTCTGCATGTGCTGGTCCACTTTGCTAGAGGTTACTATAATCTGCTTTTCAGTAATCTCCTACTTCTAGCTAAATCTCACTTTAGGTCAAGTTGCCTCACCCTTTGTAAAGAAAGCCTCAGCACAAAAGCAGATCATCCACAGTTCTGAAGAGCCACTCTTTTTGGGGACAGTATCAAGCAAAATCAAATATGAGGTAAAAACTTCTTCTCAGGACATTAAATACACAAACAATAGCAAAGTGAAGAATAAAATCCTTATCCATTCTTTATAAATCAATTGGCAATGACCATTAAGATCATCTTTATAACATTTACATCATTGGTATAGATGTCTGAAATATATGATGAGGAATAAATCAGTTTTTATAGATTTTTCTTAGACACATTGATCCCCAATTTCAAAGGGTATAAATTAGTATAAACTGGGGCAACTGTCTTTTTAAAAAGCAGACTCCGGTGGAGCTATGCTAATGTACACCAATTAAGAACTGGATCCAATAGTACCTATTTCCCCCACCCACCACCACCTTTAACTGAACTATTTAGAAAACAATGCTCTGTGCATTGGTGTAGTATTCCTGATGGAGAGAGAAGAAACTACTGACTCAAAAATTAAATCTATAGGAACACAGAGACATCAATAAAAGGGCTTATATAAAATTCTAATAGCTCTGCAAAACAAATCTGGAGCTTCAGAGAATATTTTAAAAGCTATTTAATAAGTTGATTCTTTTTTGCAAACAGGAAAACAATAAAAATGCTTAACTAAAGAGATTACTGTAAATCTTGGGCCTCTAATAATAATTAAAATTGAAAAAAAACCCATAAAATAATTTGACATTTCAGTCATCAGGGACTTAGTTATAATTGTACATAGGACCAGAAGCCACTGGAGTTACTGAATGTTTACAGCAATGTAAATGAGACCTGAACCTGACCCTTATTCATACTGAACTGATGGGAGGTCTTCTAAATTTTGAACCAAAAATAAAAATGCTGGAGAAAAAAAACCTATCCTGTCCAAACATTTAATATAATCCATTTACAATTATAATACAATTAATAATTAAAATATTTTCTTGGCTTAGTCATATTTCATATGAAATGAGCTGTTGAAACTAAGTTTAGAAATTTTAAAAATCCTGTGGATATATATGCAGAAGTATTTAATTTGTTTATCACTACTCATGAATATATGGTCATACCTCCTATGCAAAGTATATTTCTGAACATGATGTGTTGCAAAAATGCATGCCTTGAAGCTAGTCCTGACCTTTAACCAACAAGAAAGTTCTGTCTAGTTGATCTCATCTAACTACACAGCAGGTACAGAAAATTAAACCAGTTTAGGTTGAGCCCTCGTACCACAAAGTGTCAATGTTTCCCTAAAGGAAATACTTAACAAGCTTGTAATGCACTATTATGTTTATCTAATGACATAGATAAAATAAGCAGAGTTATACTCAACAGAGTAGAATCCCAGGTTGAAGTCTATATAATTCAGTTGTTTGTAAAAGTTGGCAATGAAAGCTGCCATGAGAAATCTAAAAGTAAATAATCCACTCTAGATCTAAACTATGTCAGATTGCTTATAAGGTCACACAAGAAAAGTAAAGCATCAGAGAGTTGGCATCAGAAGACTTAAGGTATTTGCTTCACTTTCAAATTGAAGTGTGATTTTAATTGGGCAGGCACACAAGATAATAAATGCTATGTTAATAAAAACAAATACGTTTTCAGTAAAGGATTATACACAAATTAGGACATTAAAACATGATACTAAAAGGCCACAACCTCCCTTTGTAGTTTAGGGTAAGAAGATAGGCCATGAGCCTGCAGCCATATCTACCCATTCTTATAGGGTGAAGTCCCATTTAGGTCTCTGCATGAGTGCAAGGGTCTGACTACACACGTGAACTTGCAGGGTCAGGGCAATAATTAGAGTCTGTAATGTTAGAGCAGTGGTTGGGAAAATTGTTTCCTTATCAGGCAGGAAAGAAACAACCAGAATGCTTTTGTTAATACATGGTTTTGAAAAGTATGGGATAGACATATAAGACACTGATTTTCATAAAAAATGTACATTCGACAGCAAACAGTGCCGAAACCACGGGAACATGGATAATAGGAAGACTCCCTAAAATGCCAACCTCATCTTGAAGAATTTTTGGACAAGTGCACCATGAAACTAATACCCAAGATACATCAATCATATTTCATCCCCTGGACAAATGACCTAAACTCTCTCATACGGGGGGCTGACAGACTTGCCAGGCCCTGGCCAAGGCAGAGGGGGTGGCTCCACACTCCTGGAAGAGGTGGGGCTGAGGAGGAAGGGGCGTGGCTTGGGGGAGGCCAGCCCTCAGCACTGCCTGTAGTGCACCACACCACACCGCCCTCTCCACAGGCAGCCCTGAGAGCTGCCCCCCACATCTCATAGGTTTCTACCAAAATTATAGGAACCACCAGCCAGTAAAGAGACCTCGAAGCTGCATGGCCACACAGTTGCCTAATAAGTGCTACACAGAGTGCTGCCTCTGCCCTAGCACAGAGCACAGACGTTGTCCAATAGCCCAGGCACAGAGAGCTGTGGCAGAATGCTGCTGCAGCTCCATGCTGGGGCTGGCAGGGAGGGGTGCCTCTCCCCTGGCCACAGCTGTCTGGGGAGGGAATTTAACTGGACTCCATGGGACAGTGATATACTTTGCTAGTTCTGTATGCTTCCCACCCAGATGCATGTGCAATTTGTATGCTTGCTCCTTTAAATACTTGGCCACTCTTAAAAATATAAAAAAAAACCAGTGCACTGTCCAATCAAAAACAGAGCTCACAAGGAGGAAAGCTGGTAATAGCTAGGTGGGAACGGTTAGTAGGAAAGCCTGAAGGCGACGGTTTCAAACGAGATGCCAAATGAGGGCGTGCTATACAGACTGCTGCAGCAGGAAGAGATCCAGGTGTTGGAACTGGCATAAACAGAGAAAGGATCACCCCAGCACGGAACCCATCAGGACAGCGAATCAGATACACTGGCTAACTGGGAAGCGGCACAGTAAAGGAGGTTGTACCTGTGGCATGTTTGTTTCAGAGGGTCTATTTTCAAGCTCCTCCTGCAGCCGCTGACGACTCCTCTCGGCCTGCTGTAGCTGATGTTGGAGTTGCAGGAACTGCTCCTTGGGCACCATAGCACAGCCTTGCTGCTGGAGCTGCTGCAGCTCCCGAGAGTGCTGGGACTGGCTAATCATCACACCGGAGCCCCCGTGTAGCATCTGAGCAATAAACCAAAACCAGCCATTAGGAATAAGGTTGTTGACACTTCAACCAGCAGAGCTAGTCAGTAAGTAGCTAAGTACTAGCGTATGCCACTGGAACCTACTAGAAACCAGCATCATGACTTCGGCAAGCTCTTTTCTTTACAACTGACTCAAACAAACTTGATCTGATGGTGCACACATGCACTGTATGGGTTGAACCTCTCTAGTCCGGCGCCTTCAAGACCTGACCGGTGCCGAACCAGAGAATTCGCCAAACTACAGAAGGTCAATAGCATTTAGCAGCAATACCAACACTTCCATTGCTCACTGGGCTCTTAGAAGACATTTAGGGCTAAATTAGATCTAAACAGCACAGAACACCGAGAGCCAGGCCTGGTAGCTGTGAACTTTATGGGACCGCAGGAAACTCGGTCACACCTGTCTTAAGTGGACATCTAGCTAACTCAAATCATGCCGGACCACAGACGTTGCCAGACCCGAGAGTGCCGGACCAGAGAGGTTCAACCTGTATTAGCTGTTCTACAATGATTTTGTTTCCCCACAATATAAAGCTTTGAGATTAGAGAAAGCTTTGGGCATTGCCTAAAAAGAAATGCATGCTTGTTTGTGCTTTAATTGAATGAAATCTGAACTTTGATCCATGTTTTCCTATGTCCAATTTAAAACATTGGCTAGTTACTGATAGGAGCCTGTCAGACCTCACTTAGCTACTGGTAAATTTTAGTTTCTGTATTAAATTTTGTTTTTGGCTCGATCACTAGCTGTACGTTTAGTATTCAACAGAGCAGGCGTGTGGCCAAAGCAAGCAGTGCAGTTGCTGGCTTGGTAAGATGGGCGCAGGTCATGGCATTCTGAGCCCAAGCTTTCCCAAAGTTCAGATGGGCTCAGCCAGGCGGTTTTAGTTTGGGATTAGTGCATGTGCCGGGAACGTCATTAAGATGCCCAAAGCCAGTCTCCTAAAGGAAAATGGAGAGGAGGATGTTTTCAGCTCTGTGCATGTGGGATTTAAGTCATATGATGCTATTCATTATCTCCCATCTCATTCTTTATATTTACCCCTAAGTGCTGGAAAACGGAAACCTTTATATTCTTGTCACGCAAGTGTTGCCTCCAGCTACGAGCAGTGTGCGCCCAACAGCAATCCTACTTCTGGGGACAGAAAAAGTCTTGGAGGGGTTCCCTCTGACACGGGGCATCCCTAGAAGAGGTTTGCCAGGAGATCAATCCCAGCAAACCCTCTCTGTGCTTTTCTGGTTGTGATTTATACCACTTTCCCAAACTCCAAAGCAGTTTTATGCCAGTGTAGCAGTCTCTCAACTAGGCCCTTTGCCTATAAATGCAGGAATCACTTCCCTAACCAATACGACAGCCTTGCCAATGCCTAACGAGGACCTGGCCTGACAGGTTCTAACCGATTTGCCGAAGTGCTGCTTTCAAGCGGTGGTAGGACACATGGGGTCAGAGGAGGGCAAGCCTGCCCTGGCATTTCTGGCATTTTCACGTTAAAAACATGGAAGCCTCAGCAGAACAGGCTGGGAGTTGTCTGACAGATTAGAAGTCATTTATTTTGGTTTAAATAGCCACACAATTCAACACGTGATTTTTTTTTACGTTAACGTTTTTCCAGACATTACCCACTGGATTGAAAAACACGATTCCAGGCGAAAGTAGTTGAGATCCAGAATCACTTGCGATATTTGAAAACAAACAAGCAAACAAAAGACCGACATGCAGCATGCATTTGAATACAGCGGGAAGTGGCTCTATTCCTGACAATCTATTGGACATACAATAGCTCTTAAAAAGCTGCATAATTAACCTGACGCCTCAAAACACCTGCCAGAGTCTCTGGAGGAAGAGACTTTGTTTGTGGGCTTTTTATTTCCGTGAGCATGACTGTGCTTCTTCCCTCCCAAGTGGTGTTGTTAAGAAGGACGAGTCAGCTAGTGTTTGTGGTTTTATTCCTTGGGCGTGTCTCTATTGGGAACCACAGTGGTTTGAATGCCCATGCCATGTCTACGCTACAGCTTTAGTCTTTGGCTGCGCTGGTGCAGGATAAAAGGAAGATACACAATGTTCTCAGTATAGAACTGTGTGTTTGATTTCTACAGGAGTATCAGAACTTCCTCCTGAATCAGTGTTCAAAAGCTAATCTCCTTTCTCCTAATATATCGGCTAAGAAAGAATTCTATTGATAGAATAGAATCTGATGGGATTTATCAAAAAAGCATTTCAGTTCATAGGAGACAATGGAACACAGTAATCACTAATGGAGGTTTCTAGACTACCGCACAGATGTTAGCAGGGCCTCAGGAAAAAAAAGTCAATG